AAAAGCCCAGAGGCAAACTGTACATAAAGAGAAACCGATTGAAATAAGAGCTAAGATATCACCGGGCACTTGGAACTAATAACAAGTCTCCATATAATGACTTTGGAGCTGGTTGGTAGACTAAAAGGAAGCCTGCTATCGTGGTGAGACATCTCTTGGTAGGCTGACGGCCATTTTGGAAGAAGCCCGGTGTTTTCATGAAAACAAGGCACAGAAAAAAAAATCAGCTACCAAAAGCAGACGGTGTGGAGAGACTGGAGAAAGAAGCAAACAGGTCCAGAACATCACAGAGTGCAAGTATGAAGGATTACAGACAGAGTTAAGTCTTAGGTGGCATCCAGACATAAGGCATCAATGAAACAGAAGCTATGGTGACTCACCCACAGTCCTGGCAATAAAATAAGCACAATGGTATAACTGATAACTAGATCTATTATGATGGGGATGAAGCTGTTAACAGTCACTTGACAACGGAGGAAGAATCTGGATGTCACTCCTCTGAACCAGCTGCCATGTCTTGGGTGCAGGAGGGGTCAAAGGTTGACTGGGTTTGGTCCTCTTCAGCAGTCTGCTTTGTGAGTTGCCATGCTTAGGTAGAACTATTTCGTGTTTCCTCCCCTCTCTTTCTTTCAGGTGCTATGTGTGTTTTTTTCTAGTGCTTTGGGCTTCCTTACTCTTTCCCTAATAACCCCCATTCCCAACTTGAGGCTGTCTACTACCATGTGGTTGACCACCACGGTAACTGAATTCAAACTGCATGTTTTTCCCCCCTTATCTTCTTTATTCTTCTCTTCTTGGCAGCTCCTGAGATTTAAGCTTACCTGTCATGAAGTTTTCCTTTTCTATTTATGTTTTTAGATTTAATTTTATGTGTATGAGTACATTTCAGGCATGTGTGTCTGTGCACCAGGTACATGACATCAGAAAAGGGTTCAAAGGGGATGTCAGTTCCCTTGAGACTGGGCTTGCGGACAACTGCATGCCTCCACATGGGTGTTCCTCTGGAAGAGCAGTCAGTGGTCTTAATCACTGAGCCAACTTTCCAACCCCATCTTATTCTTTTAAATGTTAATTATTATACCCAGTTCGTGGGACCCCAAAAAGACCACCACCAAGGAGGCAACTCACCAAATGCAAACATAAAGTTTTCTTTATTAGCAAGCTGCTGCAAGAACCCCACACACACACACACTCAGGAGAAAGCAGAATATGGCATACAACTAAGGGGGGGTTAAAAGGAAAGTTCAAAAGCCTGAAAGTTTCAAGATTATGAAGCTTCCATGGTTGCATAGGATAAAGCAATAACTGCAGTTAAGCAGGATAATGTAGGGGAAATAAGTTTGTTAATTATCTCCTGGGCCAGGAATTTTTACAACCATGAGTTGGTAGCTATCTGGTCTTCTTTAGGACAGAGAAATGTTGACACAGATGGGGTGTGTTATCTGGTCTCAGGCCTCTGATTACATACCCAGTCTTTTGTTTAGCCTTATCTGTCAGGCTGCCATTGAGAGCTCAGAGGAGCTTGAAAGTTTTCTTTTTCCTATATGGGCTTTGAAGTCTAAGTTTTTAGACTTTTATTAATTTTTCCTATTTCACAAATAAAATTTCCCTTGAATCTTGTGTCCTTTTCTTAATGAGACTAAGAACCATGAGAGGTACCCCAGTTTCCCCAGTACCATATGGTGACTCAAATGAGACTCACCCTAATTTCCATTAACAAAACCAGTTACAACCAGCCGACATAGAACAGTCATAGCAGACTATCTTAATGTTTCTGTTTATCCTGTGGGACTTGGATCGCCAGGGTCACCTGGCAGGCAAAATAACAATCACAAACTGAAATGGGTGCAGTCAGGTCAAGCTGAATCCCACAACAGTCACGCCACAAGAATGCACGTGTCACCTATGGAGAGTTCTAAGAGGTAAGGGACTCTGACTCTCGAGTACCTGTATCTGGCATTAGGAACAATCTGGAACCTCCACAGTTGATCTATCCTGTGATTCCAGCCCAGATGAAAGTATGACTGCATCCTTGTGAGGACACACCAGAAGCCCTTCTGAGAACCTCCCAGATTTCCAATCATCAGAAACTGTTGGAAATGGTGTAGATATCCTGGTTTCTCCCTCTCTCCAGGTCCTGGGCAACCTGGCCCTGTTCCTTCTCCCGACTCCTCTCCTTCTCCCACCCTGGCAGCTTCTCCTCAGTACCCGCTGTCACTGTCACTCTGTGCCAGCCCTCTCCTGGACCTGTGCCTTCTCCTTAGGGAAACTTTCCTGGTCACAGGGCCTCTCTAATCCTCGGGTTCTCTCCCTGCCCCAGATAGCTCTTCTCTGGGTGACATCCCCACTCTCCTGGATCTATCTTTAACAGCTCAAAGGCTGTCAAAGGTTGCATGGCTATATATGTCAAGCATGCATTAAGTGGCTACATAAAGACTCTGCATGCAGAGCTGGGCCAAAGGCAGCTCCATGACTCCAGGTTCAATGGCACCAACTGCTGAACCTGGCTCTAAACTGTGCCCTTCCCCTTTTTAAGCAGGCGCCTCTGGCATGTTCTCTCCATTTCCACTCCCGAAGGGTTAACACCTACTCCCCCTCTTTGCTCCCTTTCCCAATAAACTCCATGTGGATGTCCTGAGTTTGGTGGATTGTGTTTCACTACCCAAAGTTGCAGCAAAGAATAGCATGGTAAGTATGTTAACTGTTGGAGTCATGGAACAAGAGGCGAGGAATGCAAGCCCTTTGCCGCACTGCACGGTGCCCATGGGAGGCGTGTCTTCCCCCTCACTGTAACTCAGTGTTATGTCAGTCACAAGAGCGCTTTACAAGAATGGAGTATAAAACCATCTTTAGAGCCCAGTACTGGTTGGCTTTGACGCTGGATTATCGTGAAGCAAGCAGACGGCTGTAGTCACATGGTACCACATTTCTCTTGGCAATTTCCCCAAATCCAGGTGGTAGAGTATTGCACACACCAAGCACTAGGGAAAGTCCAACTAATCTGAAGACCCCAAAGTCTTGGTGATACAATTTTACAGGGACAATATTTTATGCTAGCAAACAGAGGATGAAAAAATTCTGAGCCTTGACCCTTCTTCGGGTTCTTAGTTCTTTGAAATTAAACCCGTACGGAAGCAGGAAGCACTTTCCAGCCACCCATCTGTCCTTCATTTTTCTCCTGCTCATCTAGGGGCCGTCTCTCTGTCATTGGTCATCAACACTAGCACTTGTACCACTTAAGGAAATCTTAATAATCACATTAATGTTTTTCATATTCTGTATGTTCTCATTATTTCTTCCCAGAGGGCCTATGGTACTGTTCCAAAAAGTGAAGAGAGCATTTCAATTGATTTACTGTGTGAAAATGATAAATCACTGTGCACCTCCCGTTGAGTAAGTATGTTAGAATGTATCTATTTTAAAGACAACCCATTTCTTTTACATATTAAGCTTTACAGTCAAATGTGGTTTTCTTTCTCAGTAATGGCACAGGTTTTAATAATGTATTTATCTGTAATGGAAAGCGTGATTTCATCTCCCGGCGTATGGCTTAAGGCAGCAGGCAGTCCAAATCAGCTTCTGAACATTTTGTCACCATTGCATTGAATCCGGCAGTATTGTTTCCCTGCCTCTGGGTCGCCCTTCACGTCATTTCACAGGAAATGAAAACGCAGGTACCTCCCTGTAACTCTGAGATGGCCCCACTGTCGGCCGCTCTGATTTATTTAGACTCTGCATCTCTGTAACATTTTCCATTTTCTAATACAACTTCAAAATCAGCCTACATTATTTGAACATCAGATACTGTTCCACTGTGACAAATCTCTTCCTACACCCCAACAGGATTTCAGTTAAAGTGACCATAGGCCACTATGTGATGGCCAGCAGAGGCCCCACCTTATCACACACTGGAACAGAGTTATTCAGCTCCTTAATAATAGAGAGGGGTCGCCTTTGTATACATTGGTAAGCTTACTAATAACTCACCGAAAGCATTCAAGACAATCTCACACTCAACTTTCCCCATCACATTTTATCCAGTGTTCTCACCGTCTTGATAAGAACGCTGTAATTTCCTAGTTAACAAATGTTCCATTTTCATTTCTTTGTCATAATACATATAATTACACATGAACATGAAATATTAGCAAGGATAGTGTTCACTGTCTCTGTTAATTCCACCTGTATTTAAAGAAGATGGGTAAGGCCAATAATCTCAATTGAAGCCTCTGTCCTAGAGCCTTTTCCTCTTGCTTAACTTGTCTCATTTTTAGGAGATGTGAGAACAACCCAAACGGTTTGTTCTGTCGCCTGTACTTCAAGCATCACTGGAGGCAAAGACACACCAAGTGGACATACTGCTTCCTATTCCTCTAAGAGCAGCTAAATATTCTGGGTATTAAACATAAAACAAACACATGGAGGCACTAAAAATTAAAAACCACACTGCAGTTTGGGGCCTTACAGCCCCAAAGTTGAGTCCCCTAAAAGTCTGGCTGCAAACCTCCTAAGCTGGTAGATGCAGGGGAAGCTGGTGATCTGGTGATTACCAAACGACACAAACGAGAAAGAACACATGCAGTCTCTTGTACCAAGGACTAAGAAGTATTAAGACAAAAAATAATAGTAAGGCGGGAGCTATGTACACCTGTAATCTTAGCAGTGGATTGTGGGACAAGAATTGTAAGCATTCCCAGCTTGGATGGAAAGGTCTCCCATAGCTGGGAGCCAAGGGTTACCACAAAGTCACACTACACAACAAACCTCACAGGAGCGATTTAATGGGAGGGGGAAAATAGGACATCAGGGAACTGAACAGGATACAGAGCTTATAGAGTTTCCTGGGAAGGGCGTGGAGCTGTTCAGGGCGGGGCTTTCCAGGGTAGAGATGCGTGGGATTTCACGTCCAGAGATTGAGTTTTCTGCTCTGTATGGTGGGGGCAGGGTCCAGCAGTTAGGGCGGTTCTGTGGCCGGAACCTGGCAGTTAGAGGCCCTCGGAGGAGGGGCTTACATGAATCGTATCAGGAGTGTGTGAGGTCAGTTTGGGCTACCACGCTGACTTCCAGGACAGGTAAGGCATCGTCTCGAAATCAATCCAAAACTTAAATTAAAAAAAAAAAAAAAAACAGGAGTGGTGGCGCACACCTTTGAGGCCAGCCTGGTCTATGTAGCAAGTTCCAGGACTGCCTGAACTAACTGCATAGAGAGTACAGAGACCCTGGCTTAAAAGCGAAACCACAGATGAAGAAAAGAAAACCTTTAGACAATAACCACGCCCCTGTCTGCCGATGCCGGAGACAGGCAGACAGACGTTTCTCCTCACCCTCACTGGTTGATGTTTTCTTGGGCTTTGAGAGTCATTCATACCATGGTCCCTTAGGTTTAGGACACTGGTTTGTGTCTCCTTTTGCTCCCATCAGCATGGCCGCCTAAGAGATTGCTAACAGCCTGTCCGCTTGTGTTCGTTGACTTAAGGGAAGCTAGCAACTCCTTCCCCAAATGTTTTGCATTTGAGGTTGTATTTTTTTCCTTGAGTGAAGGGAATTAGTGCCTAGTGATGTTTCAAGACCAAGAAAGGCTGGAACGTTGAGAAGTCACAGCTGTGTAGTACTTCCAAGACACTTTTAGCAAGAAGCGAATGAGAAGTAACACTTCTTAGGTGGCCTGTATTCAATAAGAAAACATTATCCCATGGCACACAACAGGTTACAAAAACCTACAGCTGCTTCCTCTCAACTTTTGGCAGCTTTCAAAAGCAAGATGAAGTCAAAGTCCAAACAAACATCTTAATGTTTTCCTGACTCTATGTGCATGCCTAACTCTAAAATTGAGTGGTAACTGTGGGTGTGGTCAATTTTAAATCCTTGGAGGTCTGAGGCTGTGTGTGTTATTCATCCTTAGTGGCCCTTGGGTTCCTAGCATAAGACCTCAAATATGGAAATTATCCATCAGTTGCTATCGATCGGAATTTATTTAAACCGTTACAATATGGAATCACTAGCCTACAAGTGGGGGCAATTAAGAACTAGACAGCAGATATCCTTGAGAGAGAGGATGTACTTGTCTAAATTCATCCTGTCATTTGTTCATGCAACTTTTTTTTACAGGTCATCGGCCCTGCTAAGAAGTCAGCCCCACACTGCTGCCACTGTCCTTCCTGTACCTGTCACACCCTTGTCTGGTTGTGGCACACCCAACCAGAGAAGACTGTTCAGCCAGCAACTGCCCCAGGTGCTCAGGATCCCAGTGCTGTCCCGAACCTTTCTCAGGACGAGCTTTTAAGCACAGAAACCATACCCTGGGTTGACATACTTGGGTTAGCAAGGGCAGCTGGCCAGACGCAGAACTACAGAAGCCTAAAAGCAAGGTTAGTACATTTAGAGACTTTCCCAGAACACGGACTTTGATGGATTAGGTCTTCGTTTTCGTTTTGGCAGGTGGTGCTGCCTACGTGCTGAGTTCTATGGCCTGACTGCACTTCCATCATAGAGTCAATTGTGCTGAAGCCTGGGGTCCTGTTACAGTGGATGAGTGTCTTCCACAACACAGAAAATCACTGTGGGTAGAGCTACCCCTAGCAAAGCCCAGACAGAATGAGGTGTGAGAAAATATGCAAATAGTTCCGACACATTGTGATTAGCTTTAAAAATCACTTTCAAGGGCCACCTAACCTGGATAGGAAACCCCAGAGGGTTTTCTGGTCCCCCAGAAACTAGAATGGAAGAGAGGAAGAAGAGTGGAGGAAGAATGGGCCAGGGAGGATGCTCTATTAGCCAGAGCCTGAGGTTGGGGGTTGGAGGGGAGTTCAGTTTAGAGAGAGGACAGAGAGCCGGGCAGTCTGCTCTAGAGCTGAGGTGGGCCTGTGTCCCCACCCACTATAGCATGGAACTCAGGGTGCAGGGTGTAACCCCACCTACTACAGCATGGAGCACAGGGTGCAGGGTGTAACCCCACCACTACAGCATGGAGCACAGGGTGCAGGGTGTAACCCCACCGCTACAGCATGGAGCACAGGGTGCAGGGTGTAACCCCACCGCTACAGCATGGAGCACAGGGTGCAGGGTGTAACCCCACCGCTACAGCATGGAACTCAGGGTGCAGGGTGTAACCCCACCGCTACAGCATGGAGCACAGGGTACAGGGTGTAACCCCACCGCTACAGCATGGAGCACAGGGTGCAGGGTGTAACCCCACCGCTACAGCTTGGAACTCAGGGTGCAGGGTGTAACCCCACCGCTACAGCTTGGAACTCAGGGTGCAGGGTGTAACCCCACCGCTACAGCTTGGAACTCAGGGTGCAGGGTGTAACCCCACCGCTACAGCTTGGAACTCAGGGTGCAGGGTGTAACCCCACTGCTACAGCATGGAACTCAGGGTGCAGGGTGTAACCCCACTGCTACAGCATAGAGCACAGGGTGCAGGGTGTAACCCCACCGCTACAGCATGAAGTTCAGGGTGCAGGGTGTGCTCCCCACCCACTACACTACAGACTACAGGACGACCACACTGGAGCCCAGGAGACTGCTTGAGAGCTGTGGGCTGCGGGAGCACAAGCATCTCCTTTCAAAAAGCCGCAGAAGCAGCTGCTGAAGAAGGAACACCAAGATCTGAGTGGCTGGTGTCAATCACGTGATGTGGAAAGGAAGTGGGGAAGACCCCAAGAGCCTCACAGAGATGCACGGTTATGGGGCTGGGCTACCCACCAAAGGAAGGGAAGAGATGAAAAGGCGGCCGCAAGCACCATCCAGGTGAAGATTCTATCCACAGCCATCTCTAGTCCCAGCACGAGGTTAACCCGGAGTGTGCGCTTTTCCACAACGAGTGCTTAGCGGAGCCACTGGGAAGTGTTTCAGAATATCTCAGAATTATGCATCGGAGAGGCTGCCTCTTGGCATTTAGCAGTGCCGCTCTCAGAGATGCTCTTTCGTTGTCCTTTTTCACGGGTCTTCAGGACCTCTGGGTGCAGCTCACTCTGAACAGTGTGAAAACACCAAAATCAAGCGCCAAAGAGAAAACAAGAGCCATAGCTAGGCGCCACCTCTCACTCCTCCCAGCTGTTCCAGGCCTGCAGCATCCCCGGGGAAGACGGGCTGAAAGAGAGACTGAGGTCTAGAACATTCACAAGCCACAGATAAATTACTCACTAAGCATCCTACTTCGAAAGAATAGCTAATCTCAGTTTCAAGGTCCTCGGAATGCCCTTGTTTGGGTCAGGATAGTTGGTAAGTTTACGAACTCATCTTCCTGATGGGACAGAAACCCTTAAGAAAGCAATTGAAGAGAAGTTTTACAATAGCTTGCAGTTTGAGGGCACACAGTCCATCACGGCAGGGAAGGCATAGCACGGGTGGCTTCGTAGCAAAGGGAGCACTTGGCAGCTGAGGGCTCACATCCAGGCGAGCATGAAGCACAGCCATCCAGAAGCAGGGTAGCCTCAAGACGCACAGCCCAGGGTGATGACCCGTCTCCTTCCAACTAGAGCCCCTCTCTGCAACCTCCCCAGACAGCGATGCCGGCCGCGTGCCCTGTATTCAAACACGGGAATCTTCCGTTGGGGTCATTCACGTCTGACCGTCAAAGAACTCATTGGACGAGATGATCAATGTTTCAAACAGAGGTGGCGCCAGCCAGTCAGAAGGAGTGCTTAATGAACTCACACCCTGCCTGTGGTGAAAAGACTGTGAACATAGATCCACTGCTAGAAAGGGAACAAAGAAAGAGTCCCCTTGTGCATGAAGCTCGCATTTCTCAGCCACTCCTCCTTCCCATCTCTGGCCGAGAACTGTACTCTGACCTCCTAAGTCAGCGTCTCCACCATGCCCTCGCTCCCCGTGGCCTCTTGTCTGCTCACAGGCGAAGTACTGGAATCTCTCTCTCTCGCTCTCTCTCTCTCTCTCTCTCTCTCTCTCTCTCTCTCTCTCTCTCTCTCTCTCTCTCTCTCTTTCCCCCCTCTCTCTTTCCCCCCTCTCTCTTTCCCCCTCTCCCTCTCCCTCTCCCCTCTCCCTCTGCATCATTGATTTTCCTTTCACCGCTGAGCCACTGTTAATATGCATAAATTCACCAAAGATGGGAGTGTGGGCATTCAACCCTGACACAGGCAGTCATGGGCTGGATGGTCTGTTGATAATAAAGCAACTCAAAGTCAGTCCACGTTTGATTAGCACCAGGTGCTTTTGATTCTAAGCAACACCCACGATAAAATGTTCACCACCCCCTCCTTGATCTCCTCCTCGTCATCCACTCTAAACGGTTGCTGAACTTACTATAGACTTTTAATAGCTCACGTAAAATTCAAACAAGTGTATCCTCTTAGCATTTAGTAAATGTTGTGTTTACATGTGTTTATATGGAGAAACCCCAGGTACCAGCTAGACCCCAATACCCAATGACTCAAGTACACATGTTCACTCGAGGAGTCTGGCTCACATATCCTCATTATGGTTTTTCTGCTTCTCTTTGACATTACATATCCTTGGATTTAAACCATGGATTTCTAATAAAACAGTCATTGCAAACATGATGTGATAGAGCTTAGGGGACATCAATTTTGCCATTCTCCGTGACTTCATGGAGTATTTGCTCACATTTTATAAATTTGTGAATTGCAAAAGATATTTTTGTTTGTTAGATTTTGTTTGGTCACTTTATACATTACTTATTATAGTGATAATATTTTTGCACCTTCTGAGGCTCTAGGGATTCCCCCTGTCTCTGCCTTCTGATTGTTGGGATTGCAGGTGTGTCCTGGAATTGTAGGTGTGTGCTGGGCTTGAAGGTGTGTTCTGGGATTGCAGGTGTGGGCTTGGCTTTCAGGTATGGGCTTCAATTGAAGGTGTGTGCTGGGCTTGCAGGTCTATACTGGGATTGCAGGTATGTACTGGGATTACAGGTATGTATTGGCATTGAGGGTGTGTACTGAAATTACAGATGGACTGCTGTCTAGCTTTATACATGGATCCTGGGGATCCAAACTCTAGTCTTCCCACATACAGGACAAGAATTTTAACCACTGAATGAACTATCTCCCCAACCCCAGTTCTACTATTTTTAAATTAGCTTTTATTCCATTTCAGTAACAAATTGTTTTGCTATACAGCTCAGAAATGACACTAAACTCTTCTATGATTTGTTACCAGTGATGCTATGCTATCCTCAGAGCCTGAGAGTGTCACATCACACCCTACATGTGAGCTGCTGACCTCAGCCACTGGACTACACATGTATATGCATGCCTAAGAGTTGAGGGCCAACCAGCCTTTTCTCTGCAGATAGAAGTCAGAAAGCTCAAAGAGCAACAGGGTCACACTTGGTTCACATCTAGTCTGATCTCAGTAGACTCTGTGGCCAGCCCTGCCTTCTGTGGCAGAGGTGTTACCACAGATACCACCATCACACTTGATGCCACCTGTCCTACTTTGCTTTCTGTGACTGTGATAAACATCGTGGCCAATAGCAACTCGGAGTGGAATAGCTTCATTTGCTCTTACAGTTCCTTCACTGAGAAGGAAGTCAGGGCAGGAACTGAAGGCAGGAACCTGGAGGCAGGAGCTGATGCAGAGCGGTGATACTTACTGGCTCACTCCCCAAGGCATGCTCAGCCTGCTTTCTTATACCAAGACAACCTAGCCCGGGGTGGCCCCACCCACAATAGACCTCCAGTATCAACCATTAATCAAGAAACTATTCCACAGATTTGCCTACTGGTCAATCTGGAGAGGCATTCCTCAACTGAGGTTCTCTCTTCCAAGATAACTCCTAAAATCAAGCTGCAACAGACCTGAAAACTTCATCATCTAACTTTCCTATCAATGGAAAGTTCAATGATGCAAGCCACTAGGGGGAAAAAGCCATCGATGTTATTACTCAGCAATGAGCCTTGCATGCTGTAGTATTAAGTGTCAGGCAAGTTGTGCTCTCTGGTGCAATAGTGACAAGCATTTTATGCTGATAACCGACTGCTTTTGGATTTGGGCACTGAATCACAGGAGGAAATTTATGTCCAACATTGTTAACCTTGTCAAAAGCCCATGACTTAAGAGGTCATAGGCCCTAGGGGGAGTCTATTACTGTTATCTCACTAAACGGAAATGTTATCAAACCACCTTCAAAATAAATATATGTTTATACAATAGATTAGTACTGCCCTCAACTTGGGCCAGAGAAACTTGTCTCTGAAGTGGCCAGCAGTTAATGCCGAGACTCATAACTGGTCGGTGCGCAGAGAATGAGTGACTATTGAATGCTTATCCCACATGGGACATCAGTATCTACATCATCCCTCCAAAGTCTGAGGGAGCACTGCAGAAAGGGTAGTGGGGAGGACTGAAGAGTGAGAGGGAACAGTGTTCTAGACATGCCATGATCACCACACTCATGAAGTCACTATAGCGGTGGTGACAGCCTGCAAAAGATTACACCAAACGGATCAGTCAACAGCCCAGCAGGCGGCACCAATGGGATTCAGCAGGTGGAGCAGGACATGAAGGGGGTAAAAAGATGTTTAGTGGGGGGGGTGATAGCTGAGTGTGGCTATAATCAGGATACATTGTTTACATGAATGAAATTGTCAATGAAAAAATATTCTATTAAAAGAAAATATATCAAACAAATGTAGATTTTCATATTCTGTAAGAAATGGTGTGCATTCTGAAGACTGAAACTCATCAACTGCTTCATCATTACTTTGAATTTAATAACAAAACGCAAAGAAGGTTACTGTAGAACATGACGTGATGTCAACCACCCAAGACTCAGTCAAGGCAAAAAATTAAAAACGAAGTGGGAAACGATGGAAGCAACGGCTAAGCCGATTTTGGAAGCGTAATGACCGCAACATGATGAGCAAGAGTCCACCAGAGTTCTGAAGAAATCTGAGCTGGCTCGCCCCAAGCCCCTAACCTGTGCGCGACACACGGCGTGGGTGCCATGGGCTGGAAGGGGACTTGAACGTTCTCCCGCTCAGCACCAACGACAAACGAGGCAACGACCACAACACGAGCTACAGCAGGAAGATAAAATTCGATAAGAATGAGTAAGTCGGGCTGGAGAGACAGGTCAATAGATAAACACACTTGCTGTGTAAGCCTGGTAACCTAAGTTTAGATTCCCAGAACCCAGTCAGTCAGTCAGTCAGACAGACAGACAGACGCCAGAGGCAGCCATGCAAACACCTCTAAGTCTGGTGCAACCAAAGGCCAGCTAGTAGCTTGGTCTACGCAGTGGCAGAGCAGGAAGCTGAGGGCCAGCATCTGAAAGTTGTCCTCGGCACATTACAACCTGCACACGCCCACACCCGTGAGTGCGCACATACCAACAGCAAAAACAGTAGTTGACTAAGAATAAATCAGTCCATGAGGTTCTGCGCCATGGATTTTTAAGACGCTTCCTATGGCCTTTCCCTCCTATGATGTTAAGTCCCTCCCCCCCTTAGGCACCATCTACCATGCAAACCCCAAGATCAAGACGTCCTTGCCCGATAACCCACGATCTTTGGTGGGCGTGTGCGCTCATTGAGAGAGTACCCTGGCTTCTTAATTTCTGATATGGTGGGAAGAGCCAAACTGTTGCCCCAAGGATCCCTGGGAGCAGGGGAGGCTTAACAGTCAGAAAACACAGCTACCAAGATACGGCAGTGACTTCCTGGGTTACTTCTAACTCCCAGGCCTCGGAGTCAGGATGTCCCTAACCTCAAAGGCGGTAGAGGTACACGGCACCCACTTCTCTTCCCCCACCCCTGCTGTCTGCCTGGCTACCTACACCCCGCAGTCACCTTTTCCACACTGGACAGCACCATTCTCTAGTTGCTCAGGCCAGAAATGTAGGAGTCATCTTTGTTTCCCTTTCTCCTTCCCATTTGACCCACCCCTCTCCTCTCTACAGACCGCTCAGATGTGCTGTGAATCTGTCACCTCCTGATCACCATCGGGGAGCTGTGAGCCAAATGTTTGCTTCGTCCTGGAATTCCTTCAAGCCGTTGAGAGGAAAAGGCTGGGAGGGATGCTCAAAAGAGGTTACTTCCTTTCTGCATCGGCTGTGCCTCTTTATTATGTGATTACATAGTGGAAGGGGGAAAAACACATCCTTCAATTATCTTTAAAGGGACACTGGGGACATCAATCCTGTTCCTAAAGATGGAGCCCCAGAGGACTACCCATCGGACAATGAGACATAAATCTCCATTCTGTATCATTTTACACAGTCTAAGGTATTTTGTTGTAGCCACGGGAACAAATTAAGAAACACTGAGTTATTTCAGCAACCTCACAACCGCAGTGTCTACATGTACGGTCTCCACATCACCGCCCCTGCGGCCTTTTCCTCCGGTTACCGCAACATAAACCTCTGCACATCAATCAACACCTGAAGTTCTGACGACTCCCCAGAAAGCCCTAGCACACCCGCAGCCAGCCCATTCACGACCTCCCAGATCTGCTCCTCCTTCCCCCAGCTCACTAGGGTGTTCCTGACTCCCTGGGATCTGCTCTGTTTGCTAGAGAGGAGCTCGGTTCTGGCGTCTGCGCTCCTGCAGCGCCCTCTGGTGGATTCCTCTACCCTGCAGCATCTGGATCGCTCTTCTAAGATGTCATGGCAACCTCCTTAAGCCACTCTGTGTGGCCTTGGCCGGCTCTATTCTTCTGCATAGCAATAATCACAAGTTGCTGTCTGCTGATTGCCTGATTCCTCCCACGTTATATACCCGTTATATATGGGCAGAATGTCACTGTTGTGTCATTGCTCATCCCAGGTAGCTAAGAAATAGCAAGCACAAGATGGTAACTCCATCAAGATGTCTAATTGCAACGTGTTTTGAGGCCCCTGCGCATGACAACGCACCCCTTCTCGGACTCACAGTGTGGAATGCGCCTTTAGGAATGGCTCGGCTACATTTGCAGGTTTACTCAGGATGTAAAGAATTTTAGAAAGAAAACGCTCAAATGCGCTGTATAAAGGAATGATCATATCCACCCAGGAAGCTCTCTGGGTGTGGGAGAAAACTTTCTAAGGACCAAGAGAACAAAGGCTCGCCACCGAGTCAAGGTAGCATGGAGCTCTTGGCGTGCATGCATTTGCTTGCTCCGACCCTGAGACGCATGAAAAGGGATAGATGAGTTGACTATTTTACAAGTTTTTTTTAAGTAGGAGTATTTAGCATTTAAGTGATTGTTTGAAAATGAAGAAAAGGGACACTATTTTTCTGTCCCTTTAATAGTTAGAAATGTTTGGAGATAAGCGTAGTATTTAAATCTTTGGGATGTGTAAAATTGTATTCAACAGCATTTTTAGACACCGCATTAGGGAAGACTTTAAAGAGAGTGTCTACTGCATTAATTTTAATTATGCTCCGCCGGACTCACAATGCTTTGAAATGCTTATAAAGTGCCCTCGAGATCTTTTATTAATCAAAACACAAGCACCAAGCTCTAGCGCTGCTCCCGACTCTGGGTTGGCAGCGGCTTGCCTGAGAGCGCCATCTGCTGTCTCGAGTGTGTACTACAAACAGCATTTTTTTTTTTTTTTTTTTTTTTTTTTGGACTTCTAAGGGTTGAGGATAGAACAAAGACGGGTTTCTCAGGAACAGATCAACACACAATCGTGTCACTTTAAAAGCGGCATTTCCTCTTGAGGTCTGGAACACCACACGGGTGCCGATACCTGGAGGGTAAGTGGCGAACCTCAAAGTGGAATGGCAGCTTCATTTCTTCCACTTCAGCTTTAACCCTCCAAAATATGGACAGCAATGATTTTTAAAGGCACGCTATGGCTAACAGGTTTTATTTTGGAACTCAGCTAGTTGCTCCATAGCCAGCAAATATCAGTTTTTATGGTTTGCAGATGATATCGTTTGAGGCAGAGTGCTTACCAACTGTGTGTCAGAGCCTGGGCTCAACCCCAATATTATAGGTAAATTCATATTTCAATATCAGCTATAGCAGGGACATACTAATTATAACAAGAAAAATATCCTTGTTTCATATAACCCAGGGAAAAACGCAGGTAATCAGGTTAAATTCATGACATGCTCGCCCAGAATGACCCACACTGGTAAATGCCTGGGTTAAGCTTAGTCTGAAGGGGCCTTGGGATGGAGTATCTGCTCCCGGGTAAAGGGGAGGGCATAGACCACATGACGTAGAAATAACCATCTAGCTATCTACACAAAGGAGGCAGGACGGACTAGGTGAAGACAACACTGGAAAGAACTGGCTGATTGGGGGAGCTGAGGAATTGACTGATGGAGAACAAGCATGGACAGTTCAAGCCGCTGGGTCCTTTCCTTGCTTAGGAACAATTCAAGCAAAGCCTTTGGACTCCAATGGGGTGTCTAAGATAACGCCCGCAGCCTGGTCCCTGTGAAGGGCCAGTGCAGGGTTGAGAGTGCTGTTCTGGGTTTTGAGGGTTTTTTGTTTTTGTTTTTAGTTTGTCTAGTTTTGTTTTCTTATTTATTTACTTGCTTGCTTGTTTATTAGTGAGAAGTATACACTAGTGTACACATGGTGGTCCCAGGACAGCTTGGGGGAGTAGGTTCTCTCCTTCCACCAGGTAGGTCCTATGGCTGAAACTGGGTAATCAACCAGGCCCACACCTTTAATCCCAACAATTGGGAGGCAGAGACAGGCAGATCTCTATGAGTTCAAACCCAGCCTGGTCTACATAGCAAGTTCCAGGAGCCAGTGAGACTTGTCTCAACCTCCCCACCTGAGCATGTACACACATACCACATACACTCACATAGACACACAGACACAGATACCATACACACACATATACACATACATATACACACAGAGACATATACACATATATATGTATATATATACACACACAGAGACACACACAACATACACACCACACACATACACCAGGCACACATATACACCATACACACACACCATACATACCACACACATACACATACACCACACAATACACACACAGACACACACACACCAGACACATATTCACACACAGACACACACACACCACACACACAGACACACACACCATACACACCACACACATACAGACACACACACCAGACACATATACACACACCACGCACACACCATATACATCACACACATACACACACACACCAGACTGACATATACACCAAACACACAGACACACACACCAGACACATATACACACACAGACACACACAGACACACACACACACACACACACACACACACACACATGGACACACACGGACACACACACACACACACACACACACTCCTCAGAAATGATAATCAGGGTTATCACTCAGTACCTTTACTCCTGAAGCATCTCAGCATCCCCCAGATGCTGCTTTGGGATACCAGCATTAAGTAAATAAAAACTGAATTCAACAAATACCTACTTTCTGATAAGATGTGGAATGGGGCCGGGCGGTGGTGGTGCACGCCTTTAATCCCAGCACTCGGGAGGCAGAGGCAGGTGGATCTCTGTGAGTTCGAGGCCAGGCTGGACTTACAGCCTCCAAAACAATACAGAGAAACCCTGTCTCGTAAAACCAAAAAAAAAAAAAAAAAAGATGTGGGATGGAGATCATTTCTCCCTTCCTACTGGCTTTAAACAGTACCGAGTTGCCTTCATGTCTGTCATGGCCTAGCCAAACCCTGCCCATCTCTCACACCTTATCCAAAGTAATCTCGGTACCAATTGTCCAACAGTGAACTTTAAAAATGTTGTTTTTAAATACACTTTATATATACATTACAGTGTTGCATGATTCCATTCTGTGGACAAAATTTGTCCTATTGTCAAGGAAAAAATGGTAGAGCATGAAAGATGGTCCTACAGGTACTTGCCATCAACATGGCAACCTGAGTTTAATCCCTGGGATGGGGGGTTGGGTGTCAGGCAGAAGCAAGCGTATCTCTAAGTTCAAGGCCAGCCTGGTCTACAGATCGAGTTCCAGGACAGCCAGGGCTACACAGAGAAACCCTGGCAAGCAAGCAAGAAAGGAAGGAAGGAAGGAAGGAAGGAAGGAAGGAAGGAAGGAAGGAAGGAAGGAAGGAAGGAAGGTAGGTAATGGACTCTGGAGTCCTATCTAGAGCTGAGACAAAAACGAAGAACAACAACTTGAGGTGTAAAGGGTTTATTTGTCCTACCCTTCCCAACATGGTCCATTATCCAGGGAAGTCAGGGCAGGAGCCGACACAGAGGCCATGGAGGGGTGCCGCTTACTGGCTTATGAATAAATAAATGACCCAGAGACTTCTGTTGGGGTTCAGACTTCAAGCTGAATGTCAGAAAATCAAATCAGCTGGCCACTTACCTACCTCAGGCTCAATGGGCTGATCCTGTCTCCAGGAGCTCTCACCAAGTCTCACACTGCTGCCTCTCCTCAGCGGGGCTGGAGAATTAACACCTCTCTGAGACCTTGCTTCTGTCCTATGCACTTCCCTAATGCTGGGATTAAAGGTGTGCACTATAATTCTCTTTTAGACGGATTCACTCTTGTGTAGATCTTGGTGGCCTTGGACTCACAGAACTCTGTCTACCTCTGAATATTGACTCCTAGAATTAAAGTTGTGTGTGCCACCACCTCCTAGCTTCTTACTGCTGGGATTAAAGGTGTGTGCCAACCTCTGTAGCTTGAGGCTGACTCTGCTTTTCTGAACCCTCAGTCAAGCTTTAATAAATCATAATATATCACTACAGGCTTGCTTAGCTTGATTTTTTAAAAATATAATTCAAGATCACCTGCCCAGGAGTGGTATCCCCCTCCCACATGAGTCATTAATCAAGAAAATGTCCCCAGATTTGCCTACAGCCCAATCACATGGAGGCATTTTCTCAATTAAGGTTTCCTCTTCCCAGATGACTCTTGCTTGTGTCAAGCCAACAAAAACCTAACCAGCACGGCTTATCTTAGAATTGTTCATCAAGCCTGAAAGCCAAAGAAAACTGATGTTAATGAACATGACCCTTGTCCACAGAAATGCATATTAATTGTGTTAGGGTTAGAGGAATTATCCACCATTGTCCACTGGTGGCTCAGAGCATCCAACACAGTGGCTCTCAACCTTCCTAATGCTTCAACCTTTTAAGACAGTTCCTCATGGTGTGGTGCCCCCTGTGGTATTTTTAATGTAATCGGTCCCCATAAGGAGTGGCACTATTAGTGTCTGTCTGTCTTGTTGGAGGAAGTGTGTCACTGTGGAGGCGGGCTTTAAGGTCTCATATGATCAAGATACTGTCCAGTATATCAGACCCCTTCCTGTTGCCTGCACAAGATGTGGAACTCTCAGCTCCTTCTCCAGCACCATGTCTGCCTGCATGGCACCATGTCCCACCATGATGACAATGGAATGAACCTCTGAACTGTAAGCGAGCCCCAATTAAATGTTTCCCATTGTAAGAGTTGCCATGGTCACAGTGTCTTCATAGCAACAGAAACCCTGACTAAGACAACCCCAACCATAAAATTATTTTCATTGTCACTTCATAACTGTAATTTTGCTACTATTACTGTACTGGCTGGTTTTGTGTGTCAACTTGACACAAGCTAAAGTCATCAGAGAGAAAGGAGCCTCAGCTGAGGAAGCGCCTCCATGAGATCCTGCTGTAAGACACTTTCTCAATTAGTGATCAATGGGGAGGGCCCAGCCCATTGTGGGTGGTGCAGTCAGTCCCTGGGATTGTGGCCCTGGGTTCTATAAGAAAGTGGTCTGAGAAAGCCATGGGAAGCAAGCCAGTAAGCAGCTCCCCTCCTGCCCCCAGGATCCTGCCCTGCTTGAGCTCCTGTCCTGACCTCCTTCAGTGATCCACAGTGATGTGGAAGTGTAAGCTGAATAAACCCTTTCCTCCACAACTTGCTTTTTGGTCATGGTGTTTTGTCACAGCAATAAAAACCCTAAGACACTCACGACTTGTAAATATTGGCTATAAAGGACATCTGATGTTTGACCCCTGTGAAAGGGTCATTCGACAACCCCAGAAGGTGCACGACCCACGGGTTCAGAAACATTGATCTAGCATGTTTGTGACTTCAATTCAGACTTTTTTACATCTCACATGTGTCTCTGTCCTTTGACACCTCTTGGGGTCGTTTATAACACGTCTCACCAGTTCCCTCAACAGTTAATGAGTTAAACAGAATAAAATCTTGTTCATATGCTCATCTCAGATCCTTTTATGTCATGATTATATCATCACTTTTTTCTTTTTTCTTTTTTTTTTTTTTGAGCATATAATTGCATTTCTCCCTTCTTTTTTCCTCCCTCCAAGCCTTCCCGTATATTCCTTCTGGCTCTTTTTCATTGCTTCTTTTATCATTGCTATCGCGTGTATAACACGTGTAAGTATAATTACCAAGTGTAGCCTGCCCCATCGGCATGTTACCGTGTGGGTTTTCAGTGCTGATCATCTGGTACTGGACAGTCCATTTCTATGCTGCTCTCACACCACCCCTCCCTTTGGCAGCTTTCTTCCATAGGGTGTAGTTCCTTATGTAGAGTTGAGGCCTCGGGGCTTTGTCCCTGTCTGCTTTAGCATGTCTGTCCGTGTCATCTTTGTTCAGCTCATGTTTGGGCAATCATGTTGGTGAGACTTTATGTCACTGGGAAACAATTTCACAGTGAGCTCCCTGATTTTTTTGGCTCTTACACTCTTTCTGGACCCTCTTCTGCAATATTCCCTGAGCCTCGG